TATCCATTCATCTACTTAAGGGCATTTAGGTTGGATAGAGCACTAATCTCTAGAATATATAAAGAACTCAAGAAAACACCAAAAAAACAAATAACCCAATCAATAAATGGGCCAAGAACTGAACAGACACTTCTCAGAAGAAGATATACAATCAGTCAACAAATATATGAAAAACTGTTCAACGTCTCTAGCAATTAGAGAAATGCAAAGCAAAACTACTCTAAGATTTCATCTCACTCCAGTCAGAATGGCAGTTATCAAGAATACAAACAACAGTAAGTGTTGATGAGGATATGCGGGAAAAGGCACACTCATACATTGCTGGAAGGACTGCAAATTGGTACAACCAATATGGAAAACAGTATGGAGAATCTTTGGAAAACTAGGAATAGAACCACCATTTGACCCAGCTATCCCACTCCTTGGTCTATACCCAAAGGACTTAAAAAACAGCATACTACAGGGACACAGCTACATCAATGTTTGTAGCAGCACAATATTTCTGATATCTACAACAAAGCATATTTTTGTTTGCTCGGTTTCCATTTCTTTAAAATGCCTGCAGTCTTTTGATTGTTTTTCTTTGGTATTATGTTCTCACGGGTCTAAGGGCATTTTGATATGCCTTGGATATTAATCCTTTATTGTCCTGCTGAATGTTCTTTATTTTCGCCTGAGTCCTGCACAGGCAATGGAAATGGGAATGGGCTGGCTACGAAATAAAAGCTAAGAAAAATAGAACAATGAGAAAACCCACAACAGAAAATATTTTCAGAAAGTGTGGTGGGAAGCTGATCATATGGATCAAGCATCTATACTACAAAGCAAAATGGAGCCCGAGCTTGCTATTTATATCGGGGAACAAAAAGGTTATAGATGGGCTGTCCAGTTCCCAAAGGGTTACTTACGCCCATCTCCAGAGCTACTATGAGGGATCTTCCTAGTAGAGCCAAGATAAAGGTCATGTGCCTTGGGCAGTCTATTGCTTGGGAGAGCCATGGATAGTTCCCAAGGCTACACCTAAAATTTCCCTGGCTGCCTTACTGATAGAAGACCCTCAAGTAATTCATGGGTGGCTTCCTGCACTTTATAGTTCCTTGCTCATCATTTTGCTCTCTCATATCATGACTCTTTTTCTTTACAACATAAGGATTCTTCCCCCCACCCCCCCAGCACTGGGCACTGGATCCAGGATGTTCTACCACTGAGCTGCATCCCCAGCACTTTTTATTTTTTTATCTTGAGTTAGGGTTCGTGCTTGCCTGGAATTTGATCCTCCCACCTCTTCCTTCTTAGTAGTAGCTAGGATTACAGGTGAGCACCACTGCACCTAGCTTTGTCTTAAACATGTCAAGAGAACTTTTAAAAGTGAAAAATAAACAGTTATATTAACTTTTTTTCTGGAATTTGTTCCATGAATTTGGTCTTTTTTTTCTCAATACCATATTTTTCTTCAGCAACAATAAAAGGAAATGAAGACAGTGTGGCTAAAACTCAAATTTTCCTTGTCCATGTCCCAGAAAATAATGCTTATTTAGAGGAAATACCTCTTATTTAGAGGTTACCACTATGTATGAATTTTATTTGTAAGTTTCTGGCCCATCAACACTTTATATAATGTATTTTTAGAATTCTGCAACTCTCTTTGAGTGTTTCACACTTAAACATGTGGCTCTGCATCATTCTGAGGTTACTTTATTCCTCCTGGGGTTTTTGAGACCTATTTTTTTCTTTTTAGAATTACTGTTGAGTTGGGCATGGTGGCACATACCTATAATCACAGCGACTCAGGAGCTGAGGCAGGAGGATCCTGAGTTCAAAGCCATCCTTAGCAACTTACTGAGGCCCTAAGGAACTCTTGGTTGAATTTGGTAGTTTTTTTCTATTGGATTACTTTATCTTGAATGCTTGATAATTGTTGGTTGGTTCTATAGTCCTTCTCTTTGGCCTTTCCTGTCATCATTCAGTGGTGGCCGGAGCTGTGTAACCACAGATGGTCTAGTTGTAGAGGTGCTCTGCTAGCATGGCCCATCCAGGACATTGCCTAATTTTCCTGCTTCGTATCCATGCTCCTGCTTCTGTTGCGAGTTGCATGGCGTGGGTGCATTGCAGGAGGAGCAGAATTCCTCTCCGCTGGCTGCTCCTGTTGTACTTCTGCTTCTCAGCCTAGTGCCTGACCCAGAGCTGTCTGAGCTTTACATCTTGTGAGCCAGCTTACCTTTCTCTGGGAGGCCTTCTCTGGTGAAATCCCCTTCCTTCCTCTCCCTGCTAGAGGCAGTTCCTCCACCCCTAACTTCCACTTGATATCTGTAATTCTTTGCTTATGTATCTGTCAATTGTGAAGCTTGAGCTATTGGAGAGGTGGAACAGAACTTATTCATGTAAATGTCTGTCACTGAAGAATAACACAGAATGTGAGTTCTTGAGTAAAAAAGATAACACAGCTTAAGCTTCCTGGGAGAGCAGGCCAGGTGAGGTCCATATAGAGGTATTGGCTTAGTGTTAGGTTAATTTTAGGCAAGTGATCTTTTTAGTTTTTCTACATTATAGTGATTATAATGTATAAAATGTGTGTGCATACATCTATATGTCTACTATATTTTATTATAAGAATAGTACATGTATAAAAATGCATTCTTTCTTTCAGTGAAGAATACTTTTTTTTTAATAAACAAAGAGTGATGGCACAACTGGATATTACTATGTGAAACACTGAAGGTGGACCCATGCCACAAACCATATACAAAAATAAACTCAATAGGTCAGTTAGGAAGTTAAGAGTTAAAACCATGAAATTCTTGGAAGTAAACAAATGCAAGTCCTGGTATTGGATTAGGCAGTGGTGTTATAGCTACAACAATAGAAGCACAGGGATTTAAAGAAAAAATAGGTATATTGGACTTCGTCAAGACTAAGAATTTTTCTATTTGAAGAGAGACCATCATGAGAATGAAAAGACAGCTCACAAATAATAATAGAAAATGATCTGGGTGGCTCAAACCTGAAATCCCAGTTAACCAGCTACTTGGGTGGCTGAGGCTGAGGATTGTAAGGCCAGCTCCAGCCAGTTAGCAAGACCCTGTCTCAAAATAAAATTTTAAAAAGGACTATGGACATAAGGTAGCTCATTGGGTACCATGCCTTCGTGGTACATGTGAGGCCTGGGGTTTGATCCCCAGCACCCAAGGGAAAGAACCTGATAAGAGGCTTATGTCTACAGTGTATAAAGAATTCTATAATAAAAAATTAATAACCAAATTTAAAAATGGGCAAAGGGTCTGAATAGACATTTCTCAAAAAAAGATATGCAAATGCCATAAGTTCCTGAAAAGATGCTCAACATCATTCATCTTTAGCAGTGTTGATAAGGATGTGGAGAAATTGGAACCCTGCTGGTAGAAATGTAAAATACACACTTCCAAATACAGAATTTTCTGAGTAATGGGAGGGTCTTCTTTTTGCTAGTTTACTTCAGGGTGGAGGCTGGTTCCCAGAAAGACCAGCCAAGTCCCAGTAGGATTGGGTCTTTGAGGCAGCCAGACTTCCAGGGAGGGCAGGAGAAGGGGTTGGAAATTGAGTGCAGTTATGCAGCCCTCAAGTCCATCTGTCATACCTCCATAATGAGACCCCAGTCACATTGACATGTAAGTGGAACTACCAGGTTGGGAGACTTGTGCTGGGAGGGAGAGGGCAAAAAAGTTGTATTGACTTCCAGACCTTACGCTGAATGTTTCCTTTGTAATAAAATTGGAATCCTAAATCCAGCTTTTTGCTAAATTCTGTTATTTTTCTAGTGTCTGATATCACCCAAGGGGACAGTAGGCACCTCCTAGATTGGTAGCTGGCGGCTGGGGCACCTCTGCAGTGGAGGACAAGCCCTTGGCTCTCATAGTGCCGGGATTGAATTTTATAAGCAGGTGGGATTGAAGCAAGAGAGGGCCTATTTCTCCTTTTCCTGGATGACACAGGGTAAACCGTGGCCTTAGAGCAGAAACGGATTTTAAAAACTAGGGCTTCTCAAGAACAGCAATGAAGAAAGGGAGGAGGGTCAGTGCCTCTGAAAGAGAAGACATTGTTAGTGGTTGGGTTGCTGTTCTACTGTGTGCTCTTAGATCTCAAAGGGAAAATAAGAAGTAGCATTTGTGCTTCTGTACTGTAGGAATGACCGTGTGAAATAGAAAAATGCTGATACCGCATTAAATCGCAGAATTTGAGAATGTCTTTGGTTGTGATTTTTGTTGACCTTAAATTACTTACTTAACTACCAATGTTTGTGTTAGTTTCTTTTCTTGGGTAATGACTTCAGGAAATTTGGAGGATTTTAAACTAGGGAGCATTAGTAATAACAATACCTGCTGTTTATTGTTTCCCACTTAATCTAGTAGCAGCAGAGCAGACATGCTGGCACATTGAAGAGGTTCCAATTTCACTGTCCTTGAGGACCTCAGTGTTTGGGTTAAGCCCCATCAGCCCACTGAGCTTCAAGTTTACCCTGAGGTTAACAGCAACAATTTACAACTTCTTTTGTAAATTTCTGGTTATTTTTTTTTTCTCTTCTTAGGGAGGAGGAGGAGTTTCAGTTGATAAAGTATCACTACACTTATGAGTGGTCTTCATATATTTATAAGAGATTAGTTCTAATTTTTAAGTTTTGGGTTCACAAATTTTTTCAAATAGGGAGAACTCGCTTCAGTGCTTAAAGTAACTATCAGTAGACGCTAGTGTATGGCATCAGATGTTGACGTGGCCGTTGCTGATTTGTATATATGGTTTATGATATATAACTCATTTTAGGAAGCTTTGGAAGTTTTTTTATTGTATAATGATTCTTTTGAACACAGATTTGGGAACAGCTTATTCATGTCTGCTTTCTATTTAGTTATTTTGTAACTTATAAATTTCATTTACATTATTTTTCCTGTAAATTTAAAATCAAAATTTTGAAAGTAGTGTAAGAATATTTGAGATGACTGTAAAACACTACTAAATAATTAAACTCTTTGTTAGCACTTATATTTCAAATTCCTCCAATTTAATTTGTCCTGCATGCACCATCAGACTTCCTGTTTCCTAAGTGAAGTTTCGAAGTTTCGCTGGATCACAGCTAGACTCACTATGTATGTTTGTTGACCCTATTCTGTTGGGCAGAGGATCGAAGTGCTGTTACCTGTGTCTCATTAAAGCGGCCTGTGGTCTCTGTTTCATTTCCCCCTGCAGCAGATGGATCACTCCTTTGAGATGGGGCTTCCTCCTCTTTCTCTGAAGCAGAATCACAGGTGTGGTGGGGGGTGATGCTGCCTGAAGGTGACATCCTGTCCTCTCTTCTTGTGTTCTCTCCCTCACTGTCTTGGCCTTCTGGTAATTGGGGGGAGGGGTGGAATGCTAGTCTAAATTAAAATGAAATTATTTTAACTGTTTCCCCTTTACTTGAAAAGAGGGGATTGGGCGTGCTTTCCTGACCTACAATTGAAAAAGTCATCTAACTTGGCTTAATCTGTTTTGGGATCATGAGGTCATTTGAGAATCAGAAGAAAGTGTATAGTCCCTGGGGAAAATTATTCTATTCAGAAATCTATCATTACAGAAATTTTAGAACATCTAAAGTTACTCCTTGTAGGGCAGTGGGGGTCCACTTAGGAAGCCCTACTTTAGCCCCTCTGAGGAATGTAGTCTGGCAAACAAAAAAAAAAAATAGGTTGTAAAGCTGACACAATTTCAGCTCTGTGAAGTTCAGTATTCACTATTGCTGTATCTAGTCTTATGTCTTTGATCAATTTATTTTTAAACATTTAAATGAGTGACAACTATATTCTAAGGATCACTTCTGATGTTAGAGTTTTGGATATAGATATTAAGAAAAATTATTGATTTTTAGAAGTTCCCAAAATAAAGTACTGGTTTGGGATATATTTGAGCATTTCCAAATCGTGAAGGAAGGGATTAAAATGTTGTTAAAATGTGTCTGCCAGATCTCGCTTTGTGCTTAGCAGTAGAGCTGAGAAGGTCCCTTGACTAGTGTGCCTGTTTCTGGTCTTGTCCTCCTTTCACTGTGCACGAGCCCTCACACTCTACCAGTGTTTCCTAAACTGTATTCATTGAGGACCATCTTCATAATTTTGCCTTCTTTGCCCATTTCCTGGTTATTGTTTTTTAAATCAATTCTGTTTTTAAAACAAATTTATACAAATAATTAGTATCTGTGAAATACAGGTTTAATTTACTAATTTTTTTCTGTTTGTTACTTAAACATATGAATATATTGGAGGAGAGGTTGTCCCAGCTAAAATCAATTTCTTCTTTCTTTAGAGGGCATTAAGTTCATTTTGGGAAACACTCTCCATGTACTGAATCATAAAGCTCTGACTGAACCAGAGTAGGAGTGGTGGAAGCTACTTCAATTTGGGAGGGACCAGAGGAAAGGAGGGCTCATGGGATGAGTGGCTGCTGCCTGCTGAAGTATCCGTTGCTTGGGCAAATCCTTGCGGCCTGAATATGAGGATATTTGGCTGTGTGCATGGCAGTGCTTGGGCTCATAGCCTCGCAGTAACCATGTTTGGTTTTGTCTTTTTTTTTAATTAACTTGGACAAATGTGTGTGCACATGTCTTGTCTTCACATTTCATAGGTTTTAATTTCTTTTGCAGGTTTGATCTTGCTCTTCTACCTAGTTTTTTATGGGTTCTTGGCTGCACTCTTCTCATTCACAATGTGGGTAATGCTTCAGACTCTGAACGATGAGGTTCCAAAATATCGTGACCAGATTCCTAGTCCAGGTAATTACACTACATTTATAATTTCTAACAAAATTGGATTGTATTTTAAATTCACCATAAATCTCTTCTGCATTATAGCAGATAGAAGATAATGAAACTTTGGAGTGCGGTAATGTGAACAATATTATTTTTCTTGTCCAATATTTACATACTGATTTAAACATCTTTGTTGGTATGTGGTGGTGAGGATCGAACCCGGGCCGCACGCACTCCAGGCGAGCGCGCTACCAGTTGAGCCACATCCCAAGCCCAGATTTAAAGATCTTGACATTCATTTTCTTTTCTTTTTTTGGTACCAGGGATTGAACCTTGGGGTGCTTAATTGCTGAGCCATAGCACCAGTCTTTTTTTTTTTTTCCTGGTTGTATACAAAGTTTATTCATGCCATTTGTGTCTTCATACATGTACTTAGGGTAATGGTGTCCATCTCATTTTACCCTCTTTTCTACCTCATGCCCTCTCCCTTCCCCTCCCACCCCTTTGCCCTATCTAGAGTTCATCTAATCCTCCCATGCTCCCCCACCCAAACCCCACTATGAATCAGCCTCCTTATATCAGAGAAAATATTGGCATTTTCACCAGCCCTTTTTTATATTTTATTATCGACAGAGTCACACTGAGTTGCCTGGGCTGGTTTTGAACTCTAGATCCTCCGAGCTGCTGGGATTACAGGTGTGCACCATTGTGCTCAGCTTTACATTCATTTTCTGATTTTTTTTTTTTCTTCTGATAGCTCTTGAGTCCTTTGTGAAGAATGAACAGAAATGAATATTGTATTTTAGTGAAGTCACAGTTATGAATGATGTGAATGTTGTGTGAGTTTCATTTTGCCTTGAGTGACTTATATGTAAAATGATTATTCAGCTCTGGCCCTGGCTAGACCATTAGTCTTATAAAATTCATGCTTTATGGTTTTAATTGCCTACTATGAAAGTGGTAAAAATGTTAAATAGTTATATCAGTAGAGAATAAAAATACTCTTTAGATGTTTGATTCTTCTCTGTTGTCTTAAGAAAAAAATTCTCCATGTGACAGAGATGATTTAGTTAGAACTTACCTGAAACACTTATTTAAATTACATTTTTCAGGCTGTGATTGTGGGTCAGTGGTGGAGCGCTTGCCTAGCATGTGAGGCCCTGAGTTCCATCCTCAGCACCACATAAAATTAAATAAATAAAATAAAGATAAAGAAATAAATATATTTTTTCTACCTCCTGATTTTATTCTTTTGAAATAGCCTTTGAATGCCAGCTCTCTCTTGATTGGTGGCCATGGCCCTAGTATTTTCTCAGTAGAGGGGCTAGAGACAGGGCCCAGGACACTTCATACATGCTAGGCAAGCGCTCTACCACAGGGCAGCACCCCTACCCAGGTGCTGGCTGGTTTTAGAGTAAGAAACAATTATGTATAGAATTCTGGTGTATGTAATTCCCAGAAATGTAAATGAGAGGATTCTTCCTAGAGAAGTGGGAGTTGGAGAGCTGGGGGAGTGGGTGGGCTGCAATCCAACAAAGTGGGAGTCCAGCTGGAGGCTGTCACTGGAGCATTGGATTTTCGGCCAGTGGTCATTTGTCATCCAGGAGCTAATCAGCAATGTGTGGAGATATTTTTGGTTATTAGAACAAAAGAGGTACAACTGCAAGTAGAGGCCCAGGTGCTGCTGCACATGCTCAACATAGACCAGCACCTCACTACAAAGAATGTCCCACCCGGCTGTGCTCATGCTGAGATCTGGGAGCCTCATCTAGATCCCCACTTGCTGCATGGACTCTGAGCATATTAGCAGCCAAACTGAACCAGTTTCCCCAACCATTTTTTTTTCTAGAACAATTTAGTGATTTCCTTTGTTTATAGCTAATATTTGTCCAAGTGTTCTGAATAAATTTCTCTTAACTCTTAGTTTATTTGACCAAATATCAGAGACTAGCTTCACTCTTTTTTCCTTATCTCTCATTGTACACATGGACTCATTTGCTTACACTACAGAAGTATTATAATACATTGGATAAAAATACTTCCTATTTTTGAAATACTAAGTATATAAGCAGTAAAATGTGTTCAGTGTTTTTAAGTACAGTTTTAAAATGAGCTCCTTAAAGTTTTTTATCCAATGTATTACATTATAGTACTTCCGTAGTGTAAGCAAATGAGTCCATGTGTACATGTACACATAGGTATATATGAAATACAGTGTGATTAGATATGTGGACTGTTTATATTAAAGTTGAAAGCCTGATTATTTCTTACAGATAAATATGTTTGCATTTTCTAAGCTCAAGATTGTTAACATGTTCTGTGTACATGGGAGTTCCTGATATGAAATTGTTGATGGTTATACTTCAAACTCAGTATGTGTAATGCACATTTTAATGTAGAACAATGACTATTTAGCATATAGAGTTTTAAATGAATAGGCCTCTTTAATTGAAGAAGCTATCTTTATGAATGTTTCCATAAAGTTTGTAATTTAATGACATGCTTAGACTTATTTGCTAAAAATTTCTTTGTTTATTAATGACAAGTTGGCACAACCTAAAAAGATATTTGATAGAAAATGAATATGAAAAATCAAAGTAAAATTGCATTTTTTTAAAGTAAGGAAGAGCCGGGCATAGTGGTGCATGCCTGTAATCCCAGCAGCTTGGGAGACTGAGGCAGGAGTATTGTGAGTTCAAAGCCAACCTCAGGAAAAAAATCAAGGTGCTAAGCAACTCAGTGAGACCTTGTCTCTAAATAAAATACAAAACAGAGCTGGGGATGTGGCTTGGTGGTCGAGTGCCCCTGAGTTCAATCCCCATACTAAAATAAATAAAATAAGGAAGAGAGAATATAGTTAGCTGAAAATAATCAAATTTAGGGGACCTTTTTTTTTTTTTGAGAGAGAGAGAGAGAGAATTTTTTAAATATTTATTTTTTAGTTTTCGGCAGACACAATATCTTTGTTTATATGTGGTGCTGAGGATCAAACCTGGGCTGCACGCATGCCAGGCTAGTACACTACCACTTGAGCCACATCCCCAGCCCTTAGGGGACATTTTTAAATAGGTATCATCTGGATTGGTTCTAAGATTTGAATTTTCTTTAATTTTAGGTGACTTTCCCTTGATAATTGAAGAGAAGTAAGAAGTTGATAATTTAAGCATGCCTCTGGGCACAATTTTCCATGTTACTTACTGTGAGATCCGCTTTTTATGGATAAGAATTAGGAGGAAGAGAGAAGGGAATTTCACAGTTAATTTCCCACCTTTTTCTTTAATCTCTTTTTAGGACTTATGGTTTTCCCAAAACCAGTGACTGCGTTGGATTATACATTTAGTGTATCAGATCCAAGTTCCTATGAAGGGTACGTTAAAGACCTTAAGAAGTTTCTAAAATGTAAGTATCTTTTCTTAGAGTAAGGTAAAGATTAAAACCTCACACCAAATCATGATGACTTTTTGAAATATCATTCTTAAAAGTTTGTTTTACCTCTTCATGCTCTTTTTTTTGTTGTTGTTTGCTTGTTTTTGAGTACCAGGGATTGAACCCGAGGCACTTAACCACTGAGCCACATTCCTAGTTCTTTTTATTTTTTGTTTTGAGACAGGGTCTCACTAGGTTGCTGGGGCTGGCTTCGAACTTGTGATCCTCCTGCCTCAGCATCCCAAGCTGCTAGGATTTCAGGTGTGGGCCACCATGCCCAGTGCCTTCCTCTTTTTATCAGTTTTAAGAATATTCCAATCTATGGAAAGATATAGGGGCCTAAGCTTGGTGAACAGTTGATTTGATTTTTAATCTGTCCTATAATAAGTACACCAGGTTTGTTGAAACATTAAAAACGAAAAAATATTTAAAACATTAAATATGAGCCACATTCCTTGCCCAGTATTTGAGTCTTTTTATCTAGTATAGTACTTATGTGGAAGATGAGGATAGTCATCATTCAAAGAAAATCAGCCTGTGTCAGATTTTTTATGTATCAGTTATGAATTTTTCAGTTACCAGTTCACAGTGCTATTTAATAGAAACCCTGGCTCACTATTTTCTCCTATTTTCCTTGACCTAACCAGTTATACGAATAATCACCAAAAGCCCTGGCCTGTGGGTTTCTGGTCACCTACATCGTCTTCCCCTCAGACAGACCGGTGTGTGCAAGTGCGTGCTTCCTGGACCAGGGGATGACTTCTTTGGCAGAAGCACTGATTGAGCAAGCTTTCCTGCTCCCATCTTCTGTCTCTAGCTTGCTTGTTCAACTTTCTTCCAGTTTATTCAGCATCATAAACTTCAGTTTATGTGGACTTCAATTAGCTGATTCTTTATGTCAGCTCCCATCTCCACCATCCATTCTTACCTAGCTTATTAATTCTGTGGATTTTCATTTAGTTTTTCCTTTTGCTGGTACTCTGAAATCCCTTGCCTCCCAGTATGTGGCCAGTCTGTGAAACTCCTCCTCTGAGCCTGCCCTGAACAGCTGAGCTGCCGAAGACAGGACTAGTTAGCACTTTGAATATCTGATCACTTCCCCCAGGTGGACCCACTTGCCTGCCTGGTGACCACCATGACTTTCTCTGATTCTCTGAAGGGTTCATTGCCAAGTTCTACTTAAACTTCTCACTCTTTACCTTTTCCCTGTACCTCATGTTCTTCATGCAAGAGATAATACGACCCTGGCACAGTGATGCATATCTGTCCCAGTGGCTCAGGAGGCTAAGGAGAGAGGATTGGTGCTGGGATGGGGACCAAACCCCAAGCCTCACTCATGCCAGGCAATATGCTACTACTGAACCACATTCCTACCCTCAAAAACTGCTTTTGATCCCACATTATCTGCTAGCTATCTTCCTGTCTTTGCCTTGCTAGTTAAATATGTTCTAGTATTTAAGATAAGACATTTTTGTGAAAGTATTGACTAGTTTAAAAGTCAGATGGTACTAGCATGCATGATGAGGCCTTGGGTTCAGTAACAACAACAACAACAATAAAATCAAATGATAAACTTGTATAGTGAAAATAGTAGTTTTCCTGCCCTACACCTTTCTACCTTTGGTTCTGTGCAGTCAACAAATGTTTTGTAGTAAGCACTCATCTGGGTTCCTTCAGTGAACAAAAGAAAAACCCTATCTTCATGGAGCTCATGGTCTATAGTGTATTAGAAACTATTAAGTGCTAAAGCGGAAAAAATGCAGGGAGAGATGGGAAAGGTTGCAGACTTAAACAGGGTAGCCTGGGAAAGCTATAGTGAAAGGAACCCGTGAAAGAGTGAAGAAGGTAATGGAACTAGCAATGGAAATGTCCAAAGAGGAAACGATAGGTGCAGAGGCCCTAAGGTTTATTGTATCTATGGTCAAGGTTCATCAAGGAAGGAAGAGGGGCTGGGTAGAGTGAACCCAGGGAAAAGAGGTAGGAGAATTACATCAGAGAGTGAAGGAGGATCAGACTGTGTAGATGCTTAGAGGCCAGTTAAGTTCTTTGGCTTTTGCAGTGGCCACTATGAGGGGTTTTAAGCAGGGAATTACATGATAACTCAGATTTTTAAAGGACCACACAGGCAACCTTTTGAAAGACTGCAGTGTGTAAACAGGGAAGTTGTTACAGAGTGATGGTGGTTGGCAAGGGAGGGAGCCCTGGGATCACAGGAGAAATAGTCTGAATCTGGTACATTTCATAGGAAATAGCTTCATGCTTTTGACTTTGGTCTTGTGATGCTTTTCTAATGCATTTCTGAATATACTTTGCTGGTTCTTGATTAATCATGTTCATTTATTGTTATTTATCATTGTTATGAGTTTTCACTTATGCATCTTCACTTAGCTCCTATGCCTTGACCTTGCCCCTTCTCAATTCAGTGGTGATTGACTCCTATCTGGTTTCTTCATAGGTTGCTGTTTCACACTTATTCTTTCCTTCTTCAGTTACCTGTGGGCATTCTCTCCTGACTCCCTCATTTCTAACTACCATTCGCATCTCTTTCTGAAAATCTTGTATAACCCTCTCCCTCCTGCTGCTTGTGTACTGATGCTGTATAGGCTCTACTCCTATGTCTGTGGGGACTTCATTTCACCACTTGCTTGGTTGAATCTATTGTTTCCTTCTTTTTCTTTATTCTTAAGTTACTCCCCGGTTCTGTTTGGTTTTTGTTATTGCCTCAGCATGCTAAGCAGGTCCTTAACCACCGAGCTACACTACAGGCCCCTCCCTACCTAGTTTTGATGAAGTACTTATTCAAGTAACTTTGTAAGAAAGGATACATAAAATGTAAATTTGAGCCCTTTATTTCTGACAGTGATCTAATTTGCTTTTACAGTTGAGGTACTTTGATTCAGAGCTGTCTTTAGGGACTTGTTTACCACTTGTTTGAGCTACATCCCCAACCCTATTTTGTATTTTATTTAGAGACAGGGTCTCACTGAGATGCTTTGTGCCTCACCATTGCTGAGGCTGGCTTTGAACTTGGGATCCTCTTGTCTTGGCCTCCTGAGCTGCAAGCATGTGCTACCACACCCAGCTCTTCTTTTTATTCTTAATTTACTCCTTTGGATTTTTATTTTTGTTGTTTGTTTGTTTGTTTGTTTTGTTTTGTTTTTAAAGAGTGTGAGAGAGATGCTGGGGTTTGAATCCAGGGTCTCAAGCATGCCAAGTTCTTCTTGTGTTTGCCTTTTTTCTTTGCAAGGTTTTTGCTTTGTTTTTCAATTTCTTTCTTTAGGGTTCTTAAATTTGTCTGATTTCACTTTCTAAAATATCATTTTTCAGGACTTGATTTGGGGTTATCTCTTTCCTTTAGGTTCGTTTGTTTTTCACTGATTATCTTGGTTTGTCTTCTTTGAAGCTTTCCTTAGATATACGGGAGGGGCTATTTGGTTACTCTGAGACTAATATAAGGTTTCCATCATTCCCTTGGCAGGGACTTTACAATCTGACTGCTTCCCATCCATCCCCTTACATTTGCAGTGATTTTGTGTGGAAGTAGAAGTCACCATAATAAAGCACAATAACTGATGATCTGACCTGCACCCACAGTGTGCCCAGTGGAAGCCCTTGGGGACTGCTGAAGGATTTGAGTGTTACAAGAAGGAGGTGATGGGAGCTGGGTGCTGAGTGTTGTCAGTGTCCACCTCTGCACTCCAAATTCCTGAGTCCTTTGCTTTTAAATGAGTACATAAGACTGGGGGTGTGGCTGAGCCTGTGCTTAACATGCAACTCTCTGGGGTCAATCACAAGCAAACCCTTCCCTGCTCCTCCTGTGTGTGCATAGTTCTCATAATAATCTAGTTTTTTATATGATGAAGCCAAAAGTTGGAAAATATATATATATATATATATATATAAATTTTTTTTTTTCCTCTCAAAATGATTGGTGCTTCCTTTAAAAGCAGTTCCTTTGAAATTTGGTTTCTGTTTTGGTGAATTCATTTTTGGTGGACTTTTACTGGTTATGCCCACACACTGGTTGTTCTTATTGAGGCATTATTACACCATATATTAATTATTTTTGTCTTTCACTAGACTAATTTCATTGAGGACCAGGATCAGATCAGACTTGTTCACTGTCCCACCACCTCATGCCTCAGTGCTTCTGCTGCAGAACTAACGTTGTATCGGGCATCGGGTATTTTTCCACCTCCTTTCCTTCACGTTTCCAATTTCTGACCATTTTATTCCTTTATGCTTTTAAGTCCACCTAGCCACCTCAGTCTTAATAGACAATCTTCTCTGAACTGATGCTGTGTCTTACTTGGGCTGCTTTAACAGACTCCTGTCTGGTTTTCAGGATCCTTATTATTTCTCCTTGTTATTTGGTTCCCCACATCACAGCTAGTCATGGCATAAATATTTTCATGACATATAAATATGGTTATTCCATCCTTGCCACTTCCCCTGGTTTAAAACATTTAGTAGATTGTTTTGGGCTCTTTGGTACAACGGTCCTCTGTTCCTAATTCTTTTAAAACACCTGGCCGGTGCCTTTCTTCATCAAAAGTGCTTTCTCAGCTTCCTTAACTCACCTCACCCCTGCCCTTCTTCTCTCAGCCTAGTTGCCTTCCCATTAGTGGAGACTATCCTAATGTTGCATATCTTCATGACTGCAATTTTATACTTAATATTTGTCTTCCCCATAACATTGTAATCCGGAGTGGAAATGCTTTTTTATAAGTCCTTACTATTGTTGTTTTTTTTTTGTCCAAGCACATTAAAAGATTTTCAGGTAATGCTATAGCCATGGCTGCTGCCACCTAATGGTGACAAAAGAGATTAATCTATGATCCAATTTGTACAGTTGTGGGAATGCAATAAAGTTAGCATTCTTCCCCTGATGTTATCTAGGAATTAGCATTGCTGTTTTTATCTTTGAGGAAAATCATCCAAAAGATGTAGTATTCCTGGTTGTATCTAATCTTTTTTTGACTATGTTTCCTTTTCAGCATATTCTGGAGAAGAACAGAGTAATCTCAAAGTCTGTCCTGATGGAGTTCCTTTTGAACAGAAGGGTCCAGTTTATACTGCATGTCAGTTTCCTCTTGCCTTACTCCAAGAATGCAATGGTATAGATGATCCTGATTTTGGCTATTCCAAAGGAAAACCTTGTATTCTTGTAAAAATGAACAGAGTACGTACATAATTTACCTCTGCTGGGGCTTGTTTCTAAAATCCTTTGTTAAGAAGCTGACAGCTATTTTTAGATCATTTGATTTGAGTTAATGCCTTCTTATTAAATGTTACCTCATTGGGGAGTAGTTTGCTTAAAAGGCCAGCAGTGATATTTATTGCTTTGAAAAATGTGTAGCAGGGCTGGCACAGTGGTACATACCTGTAATCCCAGTAGCTCCAGAGGCTGAGGCAGGAGAATTCCAAGTTCAAAGCCAGCCTCAGCAACTTAGTGAGGCCCTAGGTAATTTAGCGAGAGCCTGTCTCAAAATAAAAAGGGCTGGAGATGTGGTTCAGTGGTTAAGTGCCTCTGGGTTCAATCCCTGGTTTATTCATGGGTTATATTTAGCTTTTTATAAATATTTAATAGTAAAGGATAATTCTGTGTTTTGTGTGTATGTGATGAAATGGTGGAAATAGAAATAAAATCCCATGCAGGTGAGCTTCCTGGGATGTTGCAGTGGTAACAGCTTTTTGTTGTTAACAGAAATAGTGCCTGAACACAGTCAGTAGCAGAGTAAGGAGCCAATAACGTTCATTATGTGAGAGCAGTAATGGATTTAGGGTCATTGTGCCAAGGAAGCTGCTGCCCCTCTATAGTGAAATGACCCTGATGCCTGGCTGCTCTTTAAATAGCATGCCACAGAGTTTCTCTGATAGAGCTGTATTTTGAGACCTTTCAGAGTCTCCCTTGAAAAGTGGATCATTCCTGGTCCTTTACTCACAAGATCCTAAGTTCACATATCACTGAAGTCACCATTGGTAAGAAAATTGCTGCCACCCTAGTAAAAATAAAACTTGAGTCTTCTGAAGTTGGCAGTGCTAAATAAGATTTCCTGTGGGTAGAACTAGCGAGACCCTGAAGTGCCAGACTGGTCCTCTTGCAGCTTTGTCACCTGCCCTTTGAGAGACCACAGACAATGACAGTTTCCAGTTTGTCCCATAGAATTCTAGAGACCTTCTGAAAAATTGCCTGACAACATGGCAGATAGCCAGTAAATGATTAGTGAGACATTTCAACAAAAATTTGAAAGGTTAACAAAATAAGCCAAAAGTAATGTGAAACTAGATGATCTGTTTGTAAGAGGAATTAAATTTATTATTATTGTTATTTTTAATAGAGATGCCTTTTATAATCTTATCCTGCTGTCAGTGTCTTCCCAATAGAAAGTCAAAAGAAGGGGAGTCCCTGTCTGACAAGTCCAACCTTCTGGCTTTTTTCCCTTAGGATGACCTTCCTGAACAATGGGAGTCTGAGACCACACTCACTTGAGGGGTTTTGGCTCTGCAGAACTTGACAGAAGGGCAGTGGCAGACATAGGGATCTGTGTTAACATGTACATACCTAATATAGAAATTTTACTTGTATAAAGCTGTGTAAGGCTATTTCTTGCTTTTGGTATTATTTTATATAGGTCGCAACAATGTTTTTTATTTGAGAGGATTATTTGTATTTTAGAAGCATTGACATGTAAACTACATATTTATTCAGAATGCCAAAAGGTCCTCTTACAAAATAGATGGATAAATACCTGTTACCATTCATATGGTTATAACTGACATAAATGAAGTAGCCTTGGTGCATAGTACCCAATTGTGCTAGGAGTGTCTTAAGGTAGATTCTTTCCTATGTGTGCTTTTGTGGAAACAGATAACTGAAATAAGGTGACACTTAGTGGGCATTATGACTTAATTTGTTTTCGTAAAAGTTATTTGCTCATGCCCAGAATCCCAGCTACTCAGAAAGCTGAGTCAGGAGGATTGAAAGTTCAAGACCAGCCTGGGCAATTTAGAGAGACCTGACTCAAAATTTTAAAAGAAGGGAAGCTGGGGGTGTAGCTCAGAGATAGAATACTTGTCTATTGTGTACAAGTCTCTGGGTTTAGCACCACAAATTAACAGTTTATTCTGCCTTTGGAGAGTTTGTTTTATTTTTAATACCAGAGATTTAACCCTGGAGTGCTTTACTACTGATTTACAACTACAGTCCTTTTTATTATTTTGAGACAGGGCCTCGATAAGTTGCTGAGGCTGGCTTTGAACTTGCAGTTCTCCTGCCTTAGTCACTTGAGCCGATGGAATTACAGGTGTATGCCACCGTGCTCAGCTGCAGTTCTTAATATTTATATTAAATGATTTGTTCAACTATATAATTAGGTTTTAGGTTTTCTGGGGGTTTTGTTTGTTTGTTTTCTTGTTTTAAGGTTAGCAAAGTACACAACTGTGTTTTTACCTCTTTATTAATAGATGCATTTTCTAAATCTCTTCAGGATAGCAGTAAGATGGCTAATTGGCAAGATAATTATTATATTGGCAAGTTAATTTTAATGCCCCCCAAATCAAAGTAAAAGATAGATGTAACTGGGTTTAATCCAGAATAAAGTCAATCTCAACTTCCTGGTTTCTCATCCCTGATCTCTGGTCCCCAGCCACAGAGGAGAAGGTTCCATTGCACATGTGTGTGATGTTTACACTAATCATTGTTTCTTAACCTTAGATAATTGGATTAAAACCTGAAGGAGATCCAAGGATAGAATGTGTTCCAAAGGTTAGTATTTTTTTTTTAAATCTCAACTTTTAAAGCTCTGATGTTTCTTAAAATACTTTAGTATTTTAAGTAAACTCACTCGAGTGAGTTTAACCATCTTTTTTTTTCTTTCCTAAGTCCCTTCACTCTTCAGTAGCAGCTCTTCTTTCTCTTTCCTAGTGATGGTTCAGCGTGATGTTTTCTGTGTGTTTGGCCTCACACGTACACTGTTTCACCAGTTTTGAGGTTCACACTTTTTCATCTTGGAGTGTAACTATAGTGTTTTAATACTACTGTATCATGTTTTCTGTCTTGGTATGTAAATTGGTATGCCAAACCTCAGTGCCATCTGAGAGTTGAAAGGTGGTGCATTTTCCAGAAGGTAGAGGTATTGTTTTTCTCCCCATTCCTACATTATTTTCCAGACTGCTGTGCATTTTTCATTTCATAACTTCTTTTGTTTTCTCTCCATGCTGCAAATACATCTAAGACAAATATATAAAAGATGGGTAAGAGTTCTGAGGAGAAACTGTTAATTTGTAAACTTAATTCTGTTATTATGCTAATAAATATTAGCATTCAACCCCAATTGTTTTGTCAGAAGTGCTTTGCCTAAATTGTTGCATTAAAATCACTTCTAAAGTTGTGGGAAAAAATTATAATTCCTTCAATTCCAGGTGGTTTTCTTATTTGGGCACAAACTGCTAACTCATCTGTCAGAATCACTTGGGTCTATTGGGTTGCATCCCCATAGTTTCTGAATCAGTTGGTCTGGGGCACATGCTTGAGAACCCTGCTTTAGAGTATCATTTTAAATTTTTTTAGTATTTGATCACTATTTAGATTAGACTAATAAGCCAAGAAGTTTGTGTCCTCTCATCTGAGTAAGAAGTCTACATTGTGACTGTCGGCAAGTTACGTTACCTCCTTCTGCCACAGTTACTTCTGTAGGAAACTTAGATAAAGAACCAGAATCTCAGCTGGGCGCTGTGGCACAACACCTGTAATCTCAGCGTCTCAGGAGCCTGAGGTAGGAGGATCTTGAGTTCAAAGCCAGCCTCAACAGTTTAGCAAGGCACTAAGCACCTCAGTTAGACCCTGTCCCTAAATAAAATAGAAAATAGGGCTTGGCTCAGTGGTTGAGTGCCTCTGAGTTTAATGCCCGATCCCCCCCTGCGACCCCCAAAGCTGTCAAAAAAAAAAAAAAAAAAGCCAGAATCTCCTACTGAAGACCCTGGGTTCAGTCCCCAGCACCAAAAACAATTTAAAAAGCCAGAATTTCACTTAAAATTACATGCCACACATCTAAGCTGAGCTTTCTGAGATAAATTCTTGTAAAGATCTAGAGAGCATGTACTGTCACTTCTTAAGACAAAAGGGCATTATGGCTTTCTTATAAGATTATATCTTATAAGAAAAAGTATCATGTAACTCTCCGATTCTCAGGATTTGCTTAACATCTTTCCGGTAGAAAGTTTCTGAGGTTTGGTACTGGGCCTCAGCAAGGTGGAAGTGCTAATTTTCTGCAGTGTACCTGTACACAGGAGCTTTTGTCTTCACACGTGAACAGGCTCTGTACACAAGCTTGGAATGGTGGGTCCATGAAGCCAATGTCACCTAAGAAGAAAACAGGCACCCAGGCCACAGGGGCAGAAGCTTTAAACTCTTCCCCAAGACTTTCATTTTGCAAGTTTTTGGCCATTATCAAGAAGTCCATGTAAGCCTGCCCTCAAGGCTTTAAAGGCATTTTTTTCCTTTGTATCTATTATGTACCTCTTTGCGTCTAGAATAGATGGGAATCATGATATTGAATAAAATCTAGATCTAACAATTCAAATTTGCTTTGAAGAGATGTGGTTAAGTACATAAAATAATCAAAATAGTGAGGGTGTTTTTGTTGTTTTTAGAGCTTTATTTTTGTTTAAAAGAAAAAACAAAATTGGAAGAAATTCTTATAAAACTGTGACTCCTACCTAGCCTAGCTCCATGAGAGCCAGGTGGAGCCCATGAATTTTAGAGGTGTGGCCATGTAGGACACCTGAAAGCATGTACAATATTTTGTAACTAGTGTTTTCTGTTAGCATTGTCTATATCAAATGTTCTTCAGTTTAAATCCTTTAGTTGATGCACATATCTTTTTATGCAGTGCTTGTGTCTTTTATTTTGTGTTGTGTCCTTAAATTTGTCCTTTGCTATCTCCTGCTCTTTCCATGTGTTCTTGATGTGGATCATTAGACCTTGTCCTTCCTGGAAGGTGAGGCCATTACTCTTGCTTATGCTCTCTTGCTCCTCATGCCTCTTGTTTGTGCATTTCTTATTCTTGTCCCCTGACATGTGAGATGATATAAGCAGAGAGTAGAACTTCTTGATTCTTAGTTTTGCTATATTATTTCATGTATGCTTTCAAAAGTAAAAATTAATGAACAGGGTCTGTTGGCCCACGCCTGTAATCTCAACTACTCGGGAGGCTGAGGCAGAAGGATCACAAATGTGAGGCCAACCTGGGCAACTCACTGAGACACTGTTTCAAAAAATACAAAAGGTGGGGATATGGCTTGGTGATAGAGCACCCCTGAGTTCAGTTCCCTGTACCATAAAAGGAAAGAAAAACGAAGAAGAATGTACAGACTAGGAATGAGTGGTGGACTGCATGCTTAGCTCGCACGAGGCCTGGGTTCCATCCCAATACCACCCAACATAGAATAGGTTTACTAAAGTATTTAGTCATGTTTATGAAGTTTTTAAATGCCTGGAATACCAGGAAACTCAAATACTGAATGGTTTTCATGTGCTCAAAAATTAATTCATGGGAAATGTGGATAAATTTCTGTCAGTGGTTTCACCTGGTTGTGGTCATTATGGTTACTAACCATAGTTTCCTGTCCTGAGTGCTGCTTTCTAGATTGGCAGCTTGCAGTGGCCTCTGCTTTCCAAATAATATTTCCACAATGTTTTTATTCATCTCAGGAAAACTTGGTGCCAAACCTGGTGGTGTATTCCTGTTGTCAGAGGCCAGAGAGCTGGCATTTGAACAGTTTGAGAGCAGATAAGATTTTACAGTAGAACATCTGTAAGTTAGAAGGGACCTGGTGAAAGAGTGTAGGTTATGCAGGTCATTTTTGAAGAATCAGGATAGTCTGTGTCAAAGGGTTTTTTTTTAGTTACTTCAAGTATCTTCTCAAAAACAGACATAATATAGTTGGAGTAGCAATATAGTTCTCCATAGTGTTTCCAATTGATTCTGCTTTAACTATAAACACATTTTAAAATTCTTTTCGTGTCCTAAAATGGGTTTCTTTTGCTTTCAACTCTAGGATGGAAGCACAGCAATTGTAGAAACATATCCTAATCTTGGAGTTATAGACTTAAAGTATTTTCCATATTATGGGAAAAAACTGCATGTAAGTATTTAGAAGTTATTTATGTCATACTTACTCTTTTGAGAAATTGAACTATCCCATCTGAGGTAGGTAGACACATGATCTATGAAGTTTGTTCATCAGCTTTGGGCTTTTAAAGACAGATGGTGAGGACAAGTGGAGCTTCCCTGTCTACAGTTAAGAACACAAACCCAAGCAGACAAGTTAAAGGATGATTGTTTTCAAAATACCATTTTCTCTTTCATTATATGCTTATTCAGTATATACATATTTAGAGAAAGTAGAAGAGTAATAAAGAAATCAGAAAGCTCATTACAGGGCTGGAGTTGTGGCTCAGTGGTAGAGCGCTCACCTAGCACGAGCAAGGCCCTGGGTTCGATCCTCAGCACCACGTAAAAATAAAATAAAGGTATTGTGTCCAACTACAACTAAAAATATTTTTTTAAAAACCTCATTACACAAGTATAAAAATATTTGTAGTACAGTTTTGTCCATATTTTTCTAGAAATACATATATACATATATGGACCGTGTTATATATGTACTATTTATTTATTTATTTATTTATCTATCTGTTTATTTATTTGCAGTGCTGGGGATTGAACCCAGGGCCCATGTCTATTAGATTAAAAGTACTCTGCCACTGAGCCAGTTTCCAACCCCTTTCATCTTTGTGTTTTGAAATTCCGTCCTTGAAGTGGTTAAAATAATACATGGTACAGAGTTCCCAGATTTTAATATTTTTCCTCACTTGTCTTAGCAGTCATCATTTTTTAAGAACATACATTTCCCCCATCTGAATCATTTGGGACTAAGTTTTTGCACTAAGTGCATCTTCAGCAGTCTGTGGTCTCCAAATCTGGACTAGTTCCCCGGTTCCTCTGTTTCATGTTCTTGTATTCCCAAGTATATGAATCATTTTTGGTTTACTTTATGTTCCTTAGTTTGGGTTCATCAGTTTTTCCTGCCTCGCTCCCTCTCTGTCTTCTGGGCACTTTTCGTCAGTAGTGCCTGAGAAGAAATGTCTTCTCAGAAGGTCACATCAGAAGGGACATGGTGTTGATTAATCCAGTTGACAGTGAATTTTTTTAAGGTGGAGTCGGCAAGGTTTCTACACTGTCAAGTTATTTTTGCCTTTTCATCAATAAGTATCACGTACCGGGTGTGCTCTGAGAGTCTATAAACTACTGTTTGGGCTAGAACTTTAGCATTTGTTGATTTTTGCCTGGGTCATTTATTAGTGGGATGGTTCCTAAAGCCTGGTTGTTCACTTTCATCTTTTTCCATTTGATAGTTGGCATTCTGCTGTACACAAGAGCCTTCCCTTCTCCAGTTATTTATTTTAGCACAGTAGACTCATGGATTCTTCTTTAATTTAGGGTTTACAATCTATAATAATTACTATTTTGTTGTTAAAATTGTCCCAGATTTGGCTAGCAGAACGTCTTTAGACTGGCTTTTGTGTCCTTTTGACATGCTCCCATAATTCTCTGAGCACTTCCTTATATTCTGGCATCATAAGATACTCCAGATTCATTTTGCACACTTTTCCTGCCCCAGCCCAGGAATCAGCCCTGGTTCCTTTTAGGAAAGAATAGTCTTTAAAAACCATAATGAAGCTAAAATAACCAGGAGTATGTTTGCACCAAGTTGCACAGTAACTTAAAGTAAGGCTCTGTATACCTACTATACTACATATAGGATATAGACCTAAGTAAAATCAAGTAGATCTTATGACTGTTTACCAAATATAACATAAGAGACCATAGTGAACGCGTATCTTAAGTTGATTTTTTACTTCCTGGGGCAGCATTATAATGAGCTTTTAAATCCTAGTGTTGCCTCTGCTGCCTTTTGGACCGGTGTATATCACACACAGAGCAGTCAAAAAAGTTGTCATAAAAAATACGTTTTTTAAAAAAAATGGTTTTTTTAGATGTAGATGGACACAATACCTTTATTTTTTTTTTATTTTTATGTGGTGCTGAGGATCAAACCCAGTGCCTCATACACATTAGGCAAATGCTCTACCACGGAGCTATAACCTCAGCCCATAAAAATACAAATTTTAAAGTTTCATATTATAGAAGTATATTATTGTATTTCTAACCCAAAATAAATCTAGAAATTTTTAAAATAAAAAAGACCCTCCCACATGTGGAGGTAGTAGAAGCCTTCTGTTAACCCTTGAATGAAAAGGTATATTCAAACCAAGATTATATAATGTTTAAACAATATACCATCTATGGAATTACCATCTATGGAATACACTCAAAGCAGTACTCAGGAAGATTCATAATCTTCAACAGTTTATTTTTAAAAAAGTAAATAAGGCAAAGAACATGACAGGTCTAGTTAATATATTAAAAATTTTAAAAATTTGCAGAGTTATCCAGTTCCTAACAAAGTATAGATAAAGTTACTATGGAATTTGAATTCATATATTTTCCTTTATTTGCCAGGTGGGATATCTGCAGCCATTAGTTGCTGTCCAGGTCATCTTGGGATCTAATAGTACCAGGAATGAAGTAACAGTTGAGTGCAAAATTGATGGATCACCCAACCTAAAAAACCAGAATGATCGTGACAAGTTTTTGGGACAAGTTGTGTTCAAAATTATAGCACTTGCATAGTATGTGTAGGATGTCTCCACAGAATAAATGTTGTGTTGTCTGTCTTCATTATGCATCAGCTGGACCTGCCATTCTAGAATTGAGACCACCTTGGAGAAGGTGTGTGGTACATGACACTGGGGTGACATCATAACGTGCTTCCAGATCATAGTGTTCAGTGTCCTCTGAAGTAACTGCCTGTTGCCTCTGCTGCCCTTTGAACCAGTCCATTCGCCTGATAGGGACCAGTGAACACCTGATTCTGAACACGTAGGATGGGGTCTTGCCCTCTTTTTATGTGGTTTAATTGCCAAGTGTCTAAAGCTTAATGTGCTGTGCTATGTAAATATTTTATGGATTTAACACTGGTTAACTGTCATATTTTGATGCCAACAAAGTTTTAGGGATAAAATGGTACCTGGCCAACATCAAGTGACTTTATAGCTGCAAGCAGTGTGTGTGGAGAAGTTCTGTATGTGAGGAGGAAAAAAAGAAAATAAAAGTGGATCTAAAAGTGTTATCTTGGATTTTTTTGTAATATTATTTTTTACATTCTGAACTAGTCTGTGGATCTTTTGATTTAGAACACAAATGTTGTAAACCATGCTTAAAAATATATACATGGGATTATTTTAGTGATGGATAAGTCTCCTGTAGTGGATGTATTTCAGTCCATGGAAGACACATCGTATTTAGGTTAGCCAGGGTTAATATGAAGCTAATTTTTTATGAAATTAAATTCATAAGACTTCAATTGTACAATAATTTGTGAAATATCTTATTGCTTTTATTTAGCAGACTGTGGACTCCAATAAAAAGATATAAATTGTGGAATATAAAAACTTGGAACTTATTTGCAGCTTGAAACCAAGTTAAGTTTTTTATGGCACGTTGTTGGTTAGTGTCAGGGGCGTTTCCTCTGCTGCTTTATTTGTGTTCTTGGTGGGACTCATAATTTGAGCTACTTTCTCCTCTGGGAGAAAGGTGTGCTTCCCACATAATCTGTAGATTTTTTTTAAAAAGCCCTGTTCCTAATTTTACTTTGTTCCTGCTTAAAACAAAACAAAAACAAACCAGAGCGTATTTCTTGAAGTTTTCTGTGTTGCTGCAGTTGAGACCATCAGGACAGCCCAGCTGGCTCAGGAGTGGCAGTGTGGAAATGCTGTGGGGGCACAGGGTGGCTGGGCCTGACCAGATGGGCCTCTGTGGCCTAGTGGCCTTTCTGCTGGTTGCCCAGTCAGATCACAGTGGCAGTGGCTTTTACTTCGGAATTCTTTGCAACTGAAGAAAACGATTCTTGCAGTCTTTCGTTGTGCTCTTACCAGGCTATGCAGCAGAGTGCCGTGGTCTGCAGCAAGGTGCCACTGCCACTGGCCTAGTGTGACAGGCGCTCAACAGCTGTCCACTTGACTCCCTTGCACTACATGTTACTGATTAAATTTGTACTTTTGGATTTTTGAGATATGATGTAGATAAAATTTGTTTTAATGAGATTAGACAAAAGCAGACCAGATTCCTAACATAAAAGGAGGATAGAGATGCCATCCAAAATGGAGCAGTGGGTTTTAAAGAGAAATAAATGTTATATAATGTTGGTAGAGTGCCTTCCTCACGTGCATAAGGCCCTGGGTTCAATCCCCAGCACCACAAAAACAAAACAGTTCCAAAATCATCTTATTAGTGCCTCCTTGGTTCAGCAGTTTGGACATGGCTTGTCCCCTGACTGCTATGTGACCTCAGGTGCCCTCCCCAACTCTTAGTGGCCCAGTTTTCTTCAGTCAGTGAAATTAGGGGCATTAGGTACTGTTTGTCACAGTCCTGTGTGCCAGGGAATGACAAGCCAGACTTTTGGAGCATATGGAGATGAAATTAACGTGGTCTCGGAGACTTTAGAGGAGGAGGGAACAGAGAGACTCAGGGTGTGCTCTGCTGACAGTAACGTGATGTGGAAGGAGCCATGGAGGTGGGGTAGGACTAGATTATTCCTAATGTCCTTTTAAAAATTCCTTTCAGTATAAGGTCCCAGGAGACCAGAAGTGTTCTTTGGGTGGGGAGGGTAAGCCAGGAGCTGGGCCTGAGGGATGGATTAAGGGTTGGACTAGACCCCCATGTGTTGGCACCTGCCAGCCTCAGCAATTTAGTGAGGCCTTAAACTACTTAGTAAGACCATCTTAAAATAGGGGGCTGTGGCTTGGCTCAGTGGCAGAGCGCCTGCCTTGTACATGTGAAGCACTGGGTTTGATCCTCAACACCACATAAAAGTAAATAAAAGATTAAAAAAAAGCCCTACATGATCTGGGTTTATTAAAAATAAATAAATAAAAAGGGCTTGGGATGTGTCCCAGTGGTTAAGTGCCCCCTGGGTCCACTTCCTGGTAAAAGAAAGGACTGAGACTAGGAATGGGGGTTTCCTAGGTCAGCTGGAGTCTGCATTTGGACTGCATTTCTGCTGCATTTCAGGTTTTCCTCCAAACTTCAGGACTCCTTCCTGCACTCCACTGCTTGGATTTCTCAGTGATGTGCAGATTCCAGCCTGAGCACCCAGCAGCTTCCTCCTCTGTGCAGTGCTGCTTCCTCAGACCACAACCTGAACAAGAGCAGATGGCCTGACGGAAACCAGCTTTTGCATCCTTGGCAATTGAGCGTAGCACTAGTTTGATGTAGTGGACAGAGAAGATTCAGTGTCGGTTATTTTGGCTGATAGGGTATTTAAAATCAGTAAGTGTGTTATATTCCTTGCCAAAGGAAAATGGTGGCCTGCTTTTCTTAGATCTCTAAGCTGTTTCACGTTGGACTCTGCTTAGGTATAAGTGAGTATTTCATTTTGGTCACTTGTAGACACACAACTATATTATTCTGTCTGTCCCTCTGAACATCCCAGGCTGTCAGCCCCTTCCTGTGTCAGTGTCTCTTAGTGGAGTTTTCTGTAGACTAGCACATGCTGCTCAAGCTCTGCTGTACTTTGGTAATGTCCCCATGCATGCCATGGTGAGCTAAGATGCACCAGTCTGCCTCCTATGAGCTGAGTGTAGGATTGCTGTCACCGGATGTTGCAGCCTGTGAGGAGGACCCAGATTCTAGTCTGCTGGGAGACATCACGTTCAGATGGACTCAGTCCTCATTTTGGATGGACGAGGTAGAATGGGCTTGAAATCCCCACTTACGTGTGATTGCTTAGAAATCTTCAGCATATTGCTTAACTTCTCAGCTGCAGTTATCTGCCAAATGAGGTTAATACCAACCTTCAGGGTTGCACGAATCTGCATGAAATACAGATATAGTAGATGTTCAATAAAGGCCAGTTTCAGTGCTACCTCTGTTTTTGAGTTTTTCTGATTTTTCAGGAATGTCTGCAGTCCTACTGTTGGGTGTGAGCAGTTTTCTGTCATCCTAAGCGAGGGCAGTAGTGGAAAAGGGTACAGGTTGAAATCTATGAATCGCTCTGCATAAGTGGAGGTCATGTCTAGTCTACATGAATTTTAAACAGTCCATATGAAATTTTTCTTTTCGTTTGGCCTCCCTTGCTTCAGTAAAGTTGAATTGGAGTTTAATTAAAACTGAACAGTGTGTGCTAAGTGGACTTCAGCGTTTTTAGATCCAGTAGTTCCTACACTAAGGAGAAGTATTGTCTTTGAAATTATATTTGGTCCCAGAGTTTTCACATGCTCCTGAATGAGGAGACTGCTGCAGAACGGGGCTCTGTGTTCACAGGGCTTAACCTTGAACCCAGAGGTGCTTCACCACTGAGCCACATCCCCAGCCTTTTTTATTTCAAGATGGTCTCCCTGAGTTGCTTGGGGCTCTAAGTTGCTGAAGCTGGCTTGGAGTTTGCTGTCCTCCTACCTCAGCCTCCTGAGCTGCTAGGATTACAGTTGTGCACCACTGCACATTGCAATGGCTGAGTTTTGAACAAAACATTTTCTCATGTTCCAGGGACTGTTGTCCTTCAATGAAGCCTTTTTATGACAACTACAGCATCATGTTTCAGCTTTCAGAACATTGTACAGATGATTTTTTGGATCTACTGTCGATCGATCTGTAGCACAGTTTTTGACCATTATCATAAAAGGTAGGGTTTGTTCATCAAGGGTGGACTGAGTTTTAAAAATTAAGCAGACATCACTCAGCGTTAAGACTGGTGATGGATGGGACTTTAAGCATGGAGAACACGGCACATGAGTTGATACAGGGTTGTGCGTCTCCTGAATCTGTCTTTTAAGATTACATGTGGGTCCTGAGCCTTTGTAAGAACAAATTGCATCTGACTGGCCACCCACCAGCTGGTGATAGGCCAGCTTGGGTTTGGAGACTGGGCCTTTCTGTCCACTCAAGTACAACTTGCTAGGATTGGAAGATTGGCAGTGCTGCTGTCTGGCACCTGCTCAGCAAGATGGTGCTGAGAATCCCAGGAGGTTGAGACGCTGGCCTTGGAACTGGAGTGGGACTGGGGCTCCAGGCTTCCGGCCCTGCAGGTCACAGTTGAGGTGTCCCTGGTGGAGGCAGAGCCAGGGTGAGCTTCAGATTGGCCTTGTTCCTGTGGTTCTCCCCGGGGGGTGGGGCTGGGGCTTGACTGAGAGCAACTGGGATTGGTGCACCAAGGGCTGTGGTTTCCTGCAGAAGTCTGTGCTCCCTGAGAAAAGGGCTGGGGGGGTGGGGGATTTGGGATGTCCTGAGAGATGCTGTATGGCAGGGTGGAAGGTGGCAGTGGCCAGAGGGGGAGAAACAGAACCAAGGGAGGAAAAGACAAGAACCAAAGTCCAGCTCCAGCACTGCAGAGACCTTTTGAAGAGAGGCATCCCAGTGTGACCCTTGCTGAGAGTTCTTTGTGGCAGGACACAAGATTTTAGGTACGTGTGGCCTTCACCTTCTGGTATCCAGTCCAAGGTTATATCACATCATCTGGCAAAGGGACTTTGCAGATGGAATTAAAGTTGTTTGGATTATCCGGGGATTCCAGTGTAACCAAGGCAGCTGAGGCAGAAGTGGGCCTCAGCTCAGAAGGGTTCGCACACGGCTTTCTTTCTGAAGGGACCATGTGGAAATCAGAGAAGGGAATGTGCATTGCCCGCTGCAGGTGGGTTTGGCAGCCCAACTCGGCCATGCAGACTGTCGAGAAACCCCAGCTGATGCCAGCCCTGTGCCTTTCCAACTTGGTTGCATGTGTTTCTGGTTCAGTGGGGTGGTGGGGTGCTGCATTTGGGTGGGGCCCTAGTCTGCATTCCTCTGAGGACCACAGGAGCCCAGGGCCCTGGCAGTTCAGGGTGAAGGGGGATTGGACGGGGAGAGGCCCAGGAGTGGTTGACCTCCAAAGAAGTCACATTTCCAAGGGCTAAGCAGAGATGCTGTTGTGGCCCCGGCCTTGGCCCCTCGGCTTTGCAGGTGCCCTCCCTGGCTGGCCGCTGACCCAGGCTGCCCTGTGAGGCAGGCAGAGCTGCGTGTGCCAGGCCATGTCCCTTCCCTTGTTTTCTGCAGTCCTGGGGGAGGGCAAGGCCCACAGCTGTGGGCTCAGCAACCCGAGGACAGCGTG